AGCGGAGCCTCAGTTATATTTTTTTTAGAATATTTAAATAACAATGAAATAGTAAACAGTAGTAAAAAGATAAAGATAAACGGAATCTCTGGTAGTACCTATTCGCAGGGTTCAACAAATATCAAGTTACAAATAAACGACACAAATATAGGTCACCAGTTTTTGCTGATGAATCAAGTAGATAATAAAATGCATGGTATTCTTGGAGCAGATTTTTTTTATAATTATAAAGCAACAATTGATTTCGAACATTATACATTTTCTTTTTTAGTTAACTCGTCAAAAATTATTATTCCTATAAAATCTCATTGTGACGTCTATACATCTATACCTCCTCGCTGTGAAATTATTAAATACTTTAAAGTAAATGCTAAAGGTGATTTTTTGGTTTTAAATGACAAACTTAGTGAGGGAGTTTTTATAGCTAACACTTTGGTTACTGCTGACCACAATAATCTAATACCAGTCAGAATTCTAAATATTAGACATAAAGAAGTAAAAATTAAAAATTTTAAACCTAGAATAGACAATTTAGCTAATTATAATGTTTGCGAAGTTGGTGAAAATAATTATCAATCAGTTGAAAGAGCAGAAAAATTACTAAAATTAATTAATTTTAATGATTTAAATCAAGAGGAAAAAATGTCATTGCAAAAAATTTGTACTAAATTTTCAGATGTTTTTCAATTAGAAAATGATCCTTTAAGTGTAACAAATATTTTTGAACAAAAAACTTATCTAAAGTCTTCATCATCTCCAGTTTACATCAAACCTTATCGATTGCCTCATTCACAGAAACATGAAATACACAAACAAGTTGAGGATATGTTAAATAAGGGCATTATTGAGGAAGCTCGTTCTGAGTGGAACTCACCGTTATTAATCGTTCCCAAAAAAGTAGATAATTCAGGTCAAAGGAAATGGCGAGTAGTTATAGATTATAGACAACTTAATAAACGGATTGAGGATGATAAGTTTCCACTTTCTTCCATTCACGAAATCTTAGATTCTTTATCTGGATCTATGTACTTTTCACACTTAGATTTATCCCAAGGATACTATCAGATTAAATTAGATTCAAAAAGTAGACCCTATACCGCATTTTCAACTGACCGCGGACAATACCAAATGACACGAGTACCCATGGGGTTAAAAACATCCCCAAGCGGTTTTTCACGAGCCATGACTTTAGCTATGGCAGGTCTTTGTCATGAAATATGTTTTATTTATCTAGATGATTTAATTGTATTCGGAAACAACTTGATTGAACATAATAAAAATCTTTCAAAGGTATTGCAGAGACTTCGTAAAGTTAAATTAAAATTAAACCCTAATAAATGTGAGTTTTTGCGAAAAGAAATCTTATATTTAGGACACGTCATATCATCACAAGGAGTTTTACCCGATCCATCTAAAATCTCAGTCATTAAAAACTACCCAGAATTAAAAAATGCAGACCAAACAAAACGTTTTGTAGCTTTTGCAAATTATTACAGAAGATTCATAAAAGATTTTGCACACATAGCTGCACCGCTTAATAATTTAAGTAGAAAAAATGTACCTTTTGTTTGGACAGACGATTGTCAAAATTCATTTATATCATTAAAAAACAGTTTAGCAAATCCCCCAGTATTACATTATCCAAATTTTTCTTTAGACAATCATTTTACCTTAAGGACTGATGCTTCGGGCTATGCAATCGAAGCAGTACTTTCAAACTCAGACGATGATGGGACAGCCCTATCGCTTACGCCAGTAGAAGCCTCAATAAAGCAGAAAAAAATTATAGTACAATTGAAAAAGAACTTTTAGCTATCGTATGGGCAGTTAAACATTTTAGACCATATTTATATGGACGACATTTCAAAATTTTTACAGACCACAGACCTTTAATTTATCTTTTTGGTATGACAAATCCGAGTAGTAGATTAACAAAATTTAGACTGACCTTAGAAGAATATGACTTTACAATAACATACATTAAGGGTAAAGACAACATTGTAGCGGATGCTTTATCACGAATTGAATTAACATCAGACGAATTAAAAAATATGTCCAGTAAAACAGAAGATCTAATATTTGCAGTAACAACTCGGGCACAAAAAGAACGCCAAAACAAACAAAATGAAAAAACGGATACATTTAATAACTTTTCCAACAAACGGACTGGATACCCGGGCGTTGTTGAAGTGTTAAAATGTCCTGATCAATTTACCGAGTTAAGACCAATTGACAATAAATTAATGAATAAAATGTATAGTAATAAAAACTTTACTTATGTAAAAGGAAACTGTATTTATGATAAAAGTTTAAATATTATTTATATTAATGTTCAGGATAGTCGATCAGCGTCAACCTTCGAGGAGTCGTTGAGACACCTGAAAAATATTTTTGAAAAATATAATCTTCCGGAAGTAATTATTATTAGAAATAAAAATAGCGCGCAACTTATATCTAATTTATTAAAAGTTTCCAGTAAAGTTAAAGAATTAAATATTAGAATAACAGTAGTAAAAGGAGTTTAGGTAATAACAGATTTAGAAACTAGACAAATAATTTTAAATGATTATCACATATTACCAACAGGTGGACATGGGGGAATAAAATGATCTTAAAACAATGTTAAAAAACATTTTTATTGGAACGGTTTAAAATCTGATGTAGAAAAATTTATTAAAAAATGTGATGATTGTCAACGATATAAATATTCAAAACCTTTTAAAGAACCAATGACGTTAACATCCACTTCTTCATCCGCATTTGAAAAGATTATGTTAGATATTGTAGGACCATTAGAAATGGATTCAGAGAACAATCGTCAATTTTAACATTACAATGTGATTTAACGAAATTTATTGAATGTTATCCAATTCAAAACAAGGAAACAATAACCATTTCCAAAGCTTTTGTAGAAAACTTTATATTAAGATATGGCGTACCACAAATAATATTAACAGATCAAGGGACAGAATTTATGTCAAATATTTTTTCGGAAATATGTAAACTACTTAAAATTAAAAAACTTAATTCAACAGCCTATCACCACCAGACAATTCGTGCATTAGAAAATAATCATAAATCTTTAGGTAACTATTTACGCATTCAAATTTCTAAACATCCAGAAACATGGAGCACATGGATTCCCTTTTGGTCATTTTCTTATAATACTAGTGTACATTCGGAAACCAAATACGCACCGTACGAACTTGTTTTTGGAAAGTCAGCCAGTTTACCATCACACGTTATAAGAAAAATAGACCCCTTATATAATTTTAATGATTATCCGTTAGAGCTTAAATATAGGTTGCAAACAGCTTGGAATGATGCAAAACAAAATTTAATTGAATTAAAAGTTAAAAGAAAAAAACGATTTGATTTAAAAAGTAACAGCATAAATTATAAACCTAATTCCAAAATTATGTCAAAGAATGAAACAGGAAATAAACTAGAAAGCATATTTAAAGGCCCATATTTAGTAATAGAGGATGTAAGTCCTAATGTATTTATTAAATTAGACAATAATAAGGTTATTAAAGTTCATAAGGATAGAATAAAACCATATATAGAATAAGTGTATCAGGTAACTTGTAGTTTTTTATGTAATTATACTACTATAGTAGGTATAAATCAGCGCTGATATGTATATAGGTTAGTAGATAAAATGTATTACGTATAATTAGATAATAGATCATATTATTGTACCATTATATTATTTCTTAATTTTAGAATAGCTTAGGATAAGTATTATGTAAAAAAAAACAAAAAAAAATGTAAAAATATATAAAACATTTTTTTTAATTTTTCGGGGAAGGTGTAGTGCAGAGACATAGTTCATTCACTGTACATAATGATGACACTTAACATTCTTAGGTCAATAATCCGCAAAGTGCAAACTGTGCAATAAGCATTATTTGACCACATCATAATTGTAATAAAATATATTATTATTCAATAAACAGAGTTCGATACGAACCTTCAAGCCGACCACCAGCGTTTCATTACCACCCTAATGTAACACCTCACAATGCCTTAAGTCCAGGCATTACAGTAGGGGTTGTATCATAAGCCCTAGTGATAGTGTCCACCTCTGGGCCGAAAGGGTGGGCACTTAGTAGTTTTCCGGTAACTGGTCCGGGTCAAGGTCATGGTTACATGGGGCTTCACTTATATTTTTTGACTCGTCTGGGAAATTTATTTGCGAAATTTTTTTATCCTGAGATTTGAAATGACGATTTTTATTAGGATTATTAAATCTAGCTGTGTTGTTGTAGTTATTGTACCTATTATAACCTTGTTCTCGGGGATTATTGTAATTATTAGCTCTCTGAGGGGTTGTATTAGGGGGATATAAGTTTTGACTAGGTTGGTATTGTGCCGTAGGGTTTAGAATGTAATCAGCCTGGTGAAGTCGCGCGATGGCATCAGGAATGGTTTGTGAGCCTATCAGTGATGATGCAATTTGAGGGTTAAAATGTCTGGCAATTACACTAATTAACAGGGTTTTAGGGTATGGCGGAGTGAGATATTTAGCTTTTGCCACGATATATAAAAAATAAGTTACAAAGTTGCCCTTATTTCTATTATATTTACCCATTTCCAGTTCGTTTCTAACCTCTAATTGTTTTATTGCACCCCAGAAATGTTCCAGAAATCCCTGTTTAAAACTTTCAAAATCATAGAACACATCTACCATGACATCCACCCAGGATTTTGCCTCGTCTGCAAAAATTGTATCCTTCCAAAACCGAAGGTAGTGATATGGTACCCTGTAGCTGCACATAGCCAGCTGCAATTGCTCAATAAAGTCCACAAATGTTTGGTTTGTTGGTTTGGTAAAACTTTGATTATTTTTCCAAAGCTAGAAAATACAGAGTTATTAGTTATCGCATTTTCGATTTGAGCTTCATTAGTAGTGTGTGTACTTCTACCATACACATTTGCAGGAAAATTAGGTTTCCTACAACTATTATTTACACAATTCTCCACTAAGGGTTTATTACTGTCTCTAAAACTATTATCATTAGTTTTTTCTACATCTACATTGTTAAAATTATTTATTATATTATTGTTAGTAATTTTTTTATTCTGTGGGGGGTTATGGTACAAAAGCGATAAGCCAGGATTTGGGCTGTGAGTTCTTCCCCACTGCCCATCGCGGTTTGGGTCATGCTCGTCTACAAGCACTCTATTTTGCACATGCAAAGCAGTAGGAGGATTTGGGCTGTGAGTTCTTCCCCAATGCCCATCACGGTTTGGGTCATGCTCGTCTACAAGCACTCTATTTTGCACATGCAAAGCAGTAGGAGGGGTAGCAGGCGAGTTACAAGTACTTATCTTAGCTGGTGTGATTTCCTTGCTTTGAGCCATTCCTTGTTTCTTTATTGCTCCTGTGGGACTCCCAAATAGTGCAGCGGCTCCAATCTCCTCGCCTGAATCCTCTAGTTGACTATACATTGCCTTTTGCTCTTCCTTCTTCTTACTTCTTGTAAAATAGGTGGGTGTCCTTCGTGTCATTTCTTGGGTTTCAATAACCTGACTTCGATAACTTCAGTCAGTGCCTCGTTGGTGCGCCAGATGTTGTGAAATGACTGGGACGAGGGAACAAAAACACTGCTATGCCAATTCAATAAGTTTATTGTACAGAGAACTTTCAGAAATCTACAAAAAAATACAAGTTACAAAAACCTAACCTAGCTTAAGGACGCGTGGCCGCGCCGGCAACATTGTGGCAAACCGCGATATATCATTGCATAAACTCACCTGCAGCTACAAGGTAACAGAAAGAAAATCTCTGGGTTTTGCACTGTGTCATCAAACTGATAAAATCTAGCATTGTAGAGCGTACGGCGGTAAATGGCAAATCGGAGAAGCAATGTCGCGCTAAATATTTCACTCGCCAGAGTGCGCTGTTCGCCGCTCGCGATACGAGGGTGATGCGAAAAGTGTGGACCTTTCGCAACACGAGGGTGACACGAAAAGTGTGAACCTTTCGCATGGGAAGGCATTATTCCTTTGCACATGTAAGTACAAGTAACACCGTTACTAAACATTTTTCCTAAACAGCCTAAAAGAAACAATCATTGCAATCCTATCCTATAATTATTGGGTAAACAATGTTTACAATGTCAAATGTCATTTCTCCTTTAGTTTTTTTTTTCTGTTATTAAAAAACTACACACAAAACGATGGAAAATAAATTTTTGACCCAGACTTGAAATAATTTTTTCAAACAGACGGTCATTAACGTGAGCACTGGGAGAGATATATACAGAACCTATACATAAATCTCCAACTCTAACGTTAAGGAATTGGACCTTTTCATACTCAATTAAATTAACCGTTCTCTGATCAAAATAAATACTTCTTTTAATTAAAATAGCTGCACCTCCCTTTCCATCATCTCTATAATAACAAGAATAACATTATAACCTTCCAACTTGACAGTATGTTCTGCTTAATCCAGGTCTCTCACAGCGAAACTCTATCTGGATTATGGATGTGAATAAGATTTAAAAGATCCGTTTTATTGGCATAATAACTGTGAATATTGCCTAATTTTTAAGTATCCCGTGAAGATGGACCCTGAGTAGAAGCCCCCTCCCGGCCAGGAATATCAATTTTCAAAGTATTTATTATTAACTCAAAAATAGATGTTGGATTTGATTGAAATATATTTATAAATAGCTGGGCAAAGTCTTCATTTGCAAGGTTTAAGTCCACCGTCCACCTAGGACCGGGGCTAGCATTACCTTGGCAATTACTCAAAAGATGTTGTTAAGTTTAATTCTTAGGTCGATAATATGTACTACGCAAAATTTCGTGAGGCTGGTAATAGGAATATCCCATATAAGAAATACGGTCTCAATAAAAACTTTTGTCCATGGTGGGACCGTGAGTGTTCTTCACTGATTAAACACAGAGCTAATGCTGTTAAGCAGTGTTATAGGGACGACAGAGTTTCTTCTTTTGTACACGCTAAGAAAGTAATTGCGGAGGTTAAACTTAAATTGAAAAATAAATAAAGGCAGCGTTTATTAAATTTGTTCTAGTCTAAATAGGGAGAATGACTTGACGGAAGTATGGAAATCTATAAGGGGCTACAGAAAGTCCTTTGACAGTGGTTTATTTTTTACAAATAGGAATGATTTGTGGAAACCGCCTTTTATCGACGCATTAGCTCCCCCATCTTGTGCTAATTTGCCTGTTTTCTCTAGAACCAATAATCAGGAAGCTAAAGACTTTTTTAATAAGCCCCTTAAATTTGTGTGAATTGGAAGGCATTTTGGGAAACCTTAGGGACTTGGCTCCAGGGCCTGATGAAATCTCGTTTAATATGTTAAAACATTTACCGGACGAAGTGTTTATTGACATTTTTTAATAATATTTTGTATGACCATGGGCAAATTCCGGAGGAGTGGTTTAATTTATCTATTATTCCTATTCTTAAATCTGATAAGGACCCCTTATCTCATCTTAGCTATAGACCAATAGCTTTTTCGTCCTGTGTGCGGAAGGTCTTTGAACACTTAATCAAACTTCGGTTGGAATGGTGGGTGGAAAGGAGGGGGATCCTTCCTCCTTTTTAATTTGGCTTCAGAAAAGGAAGGGGAGCCTTTGAGAATATTGCAAATTTATATCTCGATATAGCCATGGACATTGCGTCTGTGTATGATAACGTTCTTCCGGAAATTCTTAGTCAAACTCTTGAAGATATTGGGCTCCCCAAAAATTTGGTGGAATTGTTGTATAGAATAACTTACAAAAAAATGTCGTAGTTAATACTTCCTTAGGGGTAAAGCTGGGTAGAACCTCCTATAAAGGTCTCCTCCAGGGATCAGTCATTAGTTCAATTGTTCAGTTTCTACACTCGATCAATTATGGATGCAGTAGGTATTGGTGTTGATATTCTGCAATATGCAGATGATATTGTCCTGTATTCCTCCCATAAAGAGGTTAAATTATCTGAAGTTAGTTTGAATTCTTCCTTATAAACTATGTCACGTTGGCTTCAGGACAGGGGTCTATCCCTAAGAGCGGAGAAATGTAAAGCCCTGCTGTTTGCAAAGTCTGCTAGCTATGTACCACGTTTAAAACTTGACCACTCCAGGATTGAACTTGTGGACTTGTATAGGTTCTTAGGGGTTGTATTCGTTAAGCGTTTGAATTGGAAACCGCATGTGACTGATTTATACAACAAATGTTTCAGACTGTTAAAAAGCATTACCAGGTTTTGGTGGGGTGGTGATCCTAAAACATTATTTCGGATAAATATGCGCTAAAGTCCTTGGCGTGTAGGGACTCCTTGATTCTAAACAAGTTGGAGTTGATGAGAAACCTAGTTGATTCGTCGAAAAAAAAAGATGTATATTCAGAGGAGATTCCCTTGCTTAATTCCTTTATGAGATTGGTTCTACATAGAGATGTAATAATAATTAATAAAGTTCTCCCAATATACAAATTTGACCTAGTTAAAAAACTAGTACAAATTCCCATTGCATATAATGCGGGTATTTATAAAGATTCTGTCTTTGGGGTAAATAACATTTTTAGAGATTATATTGAACATAAATGGCCAGAATTTTCATATATATATATACTGATGGCTCCGTTTTCCCACATAAAGCTACTTGTTTTAGTGTATATATCCCTAATATAAAAGCTGAGAAGAGTTAGTAGTATGGCTTCAATCTTTCCGGCAGAATTATATGCAATATACTTTGCTATGGAAGAAGTAAGCAAGCGGAATATTAAAAAGGCAGTAATTTTCACGGACTTATAAAAATTGATAGTGGTCATGTTAACAGTAAAAGTGGGAATATTGTAATGGGAACTCGGAACATATATTTTGATAATATTAAGAATGGGGGCACTGTGCACTTTTGTTGGGTCCCGGGGCATGTAGTAGGAAATTAACACGCGGATAAACTTGCAAAAATGGGTATTGAGTTAAATGTTAATAATGAAATAAAAATTCCTGTCGAGGATTTGTAAGCTTTGTCAAATAAAAAATTAAAGGATGATTGGATAAGTTTTTGGGAGGTTTCTTTCCTTAAAAGGGGTCGTAAATATGCTATATTGAAAGATAAACCTTGGAAGACACCATAGTTTGCTATGATTAAATATTGTAGTAGAGAATTTATTACGACTTTATGTAGAATTAGAGTTGGTCATGTTGTTGTTTTCCTGCGCAATTATAGGATAGGAGTTAAAGATGATCCATTTTGTGCCTGTGGGGAGTATGGGGATTTGAATCATATATTTATTAATTGCAGTCTTTTCACAAATGAGATTAATAATTTATACAATAACCTTCTTAACCTATAGGTCACCCCCTTCCGTTATCCTTCAATGCTGTAGTTGCTGGCCCATTGCATGATACATTTGATTTGCTTTTTAAATTTTTGAAAATCCGGCAATTCATGATTAATGTAAAAAATTGAATTAGAGAGGGGAATATCTAGGGATTTTAAGTTAAGTTTTATTGATTGACATTGGACAATTCAACTCTAATATTATTATTAACAATAGATTGAATCTTTAGTTTATGCTTTGAAATACTAATTTCTGTTTTTTTTTTATTTTAGGATTCTAGCACATTATTGTTGTTTGGGCAGACCCCGAGATGAACACAATTCACACTCGTTATAACACACCACGACAACATAAAGCGCATAAAACATTTACCCTTTTATGTACTTATAACAGTAAATAAACACCTTAACAATTAAGGTATGTAGTTTTATTATGATTATAGACGTTCATTAATTTAGACCCGTTATAAAATTTACCACCAAATATGTTTGAAATATCTGAGACAGGTTCCAAATAGATCTCATTTTCCAAGTTACTTTCATCAAAATTTTCCTCACAAGAGCTGTCATCGTCACACTCTAAAAAAGTCGCTCTCTTCCGAAGAGTCTAAATTATGTTTCTTTAATTCTGACAAAGTCCTTTTTTTCTTTACAGATTTTTGTTTGATTCCATTTAGTGGAAATTTATCCGTATCCATGTCATCTAGAGGGACTGACTGTTTTAATTTTCCTTGTTGTCCTGTTTCTTTTAACACGTGAGGAATTTGCTTTTTGAGTGTTCTCTTCTCAGCTTCTTTCAACCTTGCTAAGACTCGATATTAATACTTTATCATATGACTGTTGTTTAAGTTTACAATTAACAGTTTTTTTTCTTGATTTTCAATAGGTTCTTATTTGACTCCGATGTTTTGGGAATAAAAATGTCCGCTAAAGAGACACAACTTTGAGAAAATTCTGGTTCAAAAGACTCCTTAGAACAAGACGGTTGTGGCTCAATTTGAAAGTTTTGATTTTGATTTATATTTAACAATGCCTCTTTTTCTGCTTCAAAATCATTTTTAGAATCCTGGGGATTAGATTGCCCTAGTATATTGTATTGGGACTCATTTTCTTCTATTGTTAACTGGGTTATTTCTCTTCCTTCCACTTGCTTTTCCATTTGCTTTCCTGCTTCATATCATTCAAGATCAATTGTGATAAATTCTTTTTTGGAAAATTTTGAACTCTCTACCGGATCTACGCCTATACGCCTGTACAAATCCTGCAATAATATTTTTACTTTTTATGGATTCTGTCCAAACCTCTCCTATTATTTGACTAAAGTCCTCTTTTGCCAGTCTTCCACAACTATTGCCAATTTGTTTTTTACCATATGCCACAAGTTTTTTTCCCAGCTTGTCTATATAGGTCCAAAA